ACACACACACACACACACACACACACACACACACACACCATTACTCACACTTCTACACCCCAACCCTAACGTACATCACACCCTGCAGCATTTTGATTTTAAAACACGACTACTCATAATATTACTGTTTTTACAAAACACGACGACATAATAAGCGATCATTTGAAAGTGTTATCAATTCTACGTCTTCTCAACCCACACCATAGGTCGCAATGTGCCATGGCTCCACCCATTTACGGTCTCTGAACTTATCTACAATAAAAGAGCCGACGATCTCGACGAACAGCGGGTGAGAGGTAAAAATAGAATATATTCAAACTTGAGGAAAGGGTTGACCCGTTTTACAACATTAACCCTGTGAAACGAGGAGAGTTCACATGATATCCAATCTGCAGTCAGCAGACAAACTGCAAGGCTGTGGTTTATTTTGAACAATCATACACAAATCAAAACCACGAAATTTCGTTACATTCATAGTATGCACGTTATTGCCTGAGTCTTTTAGATTCAGATAAAGAAAACAGAATTGGAAAATCTGAATGACTATCGAATTATGTCGAAAAGCCCGATTTGTGTCATCAAAGAGTTAACAGGAGATACAGGTGGTAGGTGGTAGGAGGGGGGAGGGGGTGTTATAGTTATAGATGTTAAGCCGGAACTATGACCCGCAAAAGAACGCACCGGCGTCTGTCTGTGGTGCAATGTTCACTGTTCACTCTCGTCGCCTCGCATGCAAAATGTTAGAGTGCCATTCTCATGCGTAAAAGGTTTATCGAGTACCTTTGCATAACGTCTTCTTCCTCTTGGGATTGAGGCACTGAACACTAAACTATTTCACTACCTTTGGGCCTGAGCAAAACGTTTGATATTTCGTGCATGACTCAACAATTAGCTTTTATAAAATATTATTTATAGTGTGTATGGGGATTTAAAGGGCGTTCTATTTCCGGTTGAGAATTATAATATTTCAAATAATTTGGTTTTGGTCCTCCCATGCAGGTTGAAGCTGATCATCCTTTTATGGATTAGGCTTTATTGTGCTCATGAGTGCGCAAAACTACACTCATAATGTTATAGCCTATTATCTCAATGTGATATTGTCAAATAATTATTAATGAAGGTAATTTTATAGCACCTACTCCCGTGCTAACATGCCTTAAATAAATCCAAGTTCAAACCAAAAAATTAAAAGAGAAAACATGATAATATTTGCTCAGAAATGAAGGAATCACACACATACACACTCATACATACACACACACATGTATGCACGCACACGCACACACACACACACACACACACACACACACACACACACACACACACATACACATACACACATACACACACACGCACACACGCACACACGCACACACTCACAAACACACACGCACACACTCACACACACCCACACACACACACGCACGGGCACCCATGCACATACTGACATGCACACACGCACACGCACCCCCCCCCCCCCCCCAAAAACACACAGCGCGCGCACGCATACGCATAGCTTACGCTCACACATCCTTATTTTCACGCACCTACCCACACACGCACTACTCACGCAGTTGCTTTGATATCCAGACCCCAGACTGATACAGCCATGGGTCCATGGGGTTCAAAACTACATTGTTTTTTCAGTGCAGGCAATCGAAAACTCTAATTTCATTTTTTTAAAAATTAACTTTTAAAAAAAGTTATTTATTTATGTATCTATTTATTATTGTTTTTTCAGGGGGAAGAAGGGGGGGGGGGGGTTGTCAAATTCTAATTAAAAGGTGAAAAAGAAAACAATTAATCCCATGCAGATTAAGACAATTTCCAAACAGAAATACAGCCTACAGCCAGGATTGTCAGAATAGGCCTTGGTATTGAGAGACGGTAGTAGTAGAAGTTGTAGGAGCGAGTGGGACAATACCTTGTAACTTCGAACAGAATAACTGGTGGACCTATCTGAAAAAAAGAGTCTTCAAATTTAAAGCACGATGAGACATTGAGACAGTACTGTCGAACATAAATTCAACTCCACTGGTGTATCAAAGCTTCTTTTCTACGTTTGACTTTCTTGCCGGTTATTCTCACTGAGCTGCTATATACATACATTTGCTTGTGTAATTTTAGAAACAGTTTATTCATTTGCTCCTTTCTTATTTCCAAATGACTTCTTGCTTTCAATTTCAAAGCTCAGTCGGGAATAGAACGCACTTTATAACGTCATGCAAAATCATAATAGTTGAGTCATGCACGAAATTTTAATATCAACGAATCTCTGAGGCCAAATGAATTCATCATGGGTTTATGTCACGCTTCACGCATGGCTTCCGCTCGCTCCCATTAAATCCTCTTTTTTAAGCTTTCCTTTTATGTAAGATTTCGATGTACACAGTGCACAGTGTGAATATCATTTACACGCATAGATCCAAAAAAATCTTCTTTAAAAATACGAAGAAGAAACACACACACTCACACACACACACACACAC